TTGCCTCCAGGATGGTAGACTTTAACAGTGCCCATGATTACTTACTCCTGTCGTTTTACTCCAACCTTTCAATTTATTTTTTAGAAATTCCCTTATTTCAGCAAAATGTTACCTTTTGATATCTAAAACATTTGTTTTTCTATATAATCTTTCAGTTCTTGTTTTAATATCAAACCAAAGACATTGCTGATCACTAGAACCCACATTTTCTCCTTTCCCAACAATCGATCCCCATTTGTCTGATGTTTTATTCAGACCTGCATCCATACATACTGTAATTGCGGGGACATTCTGTAGAAGTTGCTGTAGGTATGTACTGGTACTTTAGGTGCCATATTTTATACTGATAGCAATTTTTCCCTTTTTTGTTTTTTTTTTTAATTTGCTCACTCAATTGGAGACAGAGAAACACTTACTTATGCCCATTGCAAATTTGTCATCAGAACAGAGAGGGAAGAGAAATAAACAGCACATTCACAACAATCAAATAAACAGAAAGAAAGTAGGCTAGAACTGCCATCAGTTTTTTTTAATTGAAATTTGTATTTTTATTATTACTTCCACTTCCTGTTTTAGTGGAAATACATTTTCTGGAACATGAAGTATGGGTGATTCTCCCCAACAGGTCTACAGACAACAGTGGAAAACTGGCAGAGGTGCCATCTCTTTAAGCCCTGAGTTCACACTGATGCGGTGTGGAATTTGCAGTGTTTTCCGTGCGATTTCTGCACAGCATCAGAATCACACCCCATTCATGCGAACTGCTGCGGGTGTGTATGTTAACAACACCCCGAAAGCGGTCTGCAAAATGCGGTGCGATGTGCAGAATTGGATTGCATAGGTGTGAATACCTATGCGATCCGATTCTAGTGCGGACCCAAAAAAGGGTCCTGCACGTTTTTGGTGCAGGTGCGGTGCGAATAGAGCCATACAAAATGTATGGCTCCCATGGCACCACACACAAATCGAATGTGATTTGCACAGGAATGCAGTGTGCTTCGTGTGTGAATCACATGTAATATACCACACCGCATATTATTATTATACAGTAGGAGGAGATAGCTGTGGGGGATGGGGTGGTAGGAAGAGTGGAGGAGGTTGGCAAGCTAGCAGGGGTGGGGTAGGCTTCCCTGCAGAGATGGGTTTTCAGGGTGCGCCTAAAGGAGAGGAGAGTAGGTGATAATCTGATGCATTGGAGCAGGGAGTTCCAGAGGATGGGTGACACCCTGGAGAAGTCCTGGAGGCGGGCATGGGAGGAGGAGACCAGGGAACTAGAGAGAAGGAGGTCTTGTGAGGAGCGGAGTGTGCGTGCTGAGCGGTACTTGGATATTAGGTCAGTGATGTAGTTCGGGGCAGTATGGTGGACAGCTTTGTACATCAGTGTTAGGATTTTGAATTTGATCCGTTGCGCAATCGGAAGCCAGTGGAGGGATTGGCAGAGGGGGTGGCGGAAATGGAGCGGTTGTAAAGGTGAATGAGTCTGGCAGCTGTATTCAGGATCAACTGAAGCGGGGATAGCCAGTGGCGAGGCAGGCCAGTGAGGAGGGAGTTGCAGTAGTCGAGTCGTGATATGATGAGGGAGTGGATGAGCTGTTTAGTGGTTTCTGGGATTAGGAACGTGCGGATTTTGGCGATGTTGCGGAGGTGGAGTCTGTGAGTTTGTTAAAGATTGGACTTGGGGCTGGAAGGATAGGTTGGAGTCCAGAATGACACCAAGTACTCTGGCCTGCGGGGCGGGTTTGATGGTGGCGTTGTTGGATGTGATGGAGAAGTCAGTGGGGGGTGGTGTCCAGGCTGGGGGGAAGACAAGAAACTCGGTTTTGGATATATGTGAACCCAGGCTTAAACAAAACTAAGAATAAAGTTTTGGGATTTACTATTTAAATGTGAAATTTCATGGGACAGCTGTTTCTGAAATTCAGAAAGTAAAATGAAACTAGTGCAGTAAATGTTGACTTTCATATGCAGAAATTGTAAAGATAGTATTCAAACACTTACATTTTAGCCACAAGATGTGAATATAAACACTTGACACAGTACAAGCAAAGAATTAACGTTCAAGTAAACTGTTTGCAGAAGAATTTAGCTTTTGTACAGGCCAAGTAAATATGAGCTACAATTTCATTTATACAGAATTGTTAATAATGTTAACAAATATATATATACTGTATGCATGTCATATTCAGGATGTTTATAAAAACTTGAACTGATTATATTACTAAAAATATTATTACAATATGTAGTTTAGTGAGTAAAAATGAAAAAGTATCAAAGCCTGTTAATGTAATACTTTAGATCCAGAGGAAGGCTAAACAAAAACTTTGGTTAGGCAGTTGTTAGCTCTTCCTCAAGGTGTCAGTTTGTCAAAAAATCCTCTTTGACCCCAACAGTAAAAGTCACCTTAATTCAGTGGATCTGTCATTTTCTGAATGGATTTTACAAATGATCGTTTAGAGGTCTGCTCAAACTATAGACATTTTCAAACTTTTTGCAGCTGACAGTTGTTTGGAAATGAGCAATTGCATTGTTTTGAATTGGCACTGTTCACACTAGGGTGTTGTATTTGGGGTGTTTTGAAAATGTTCACCATGAAACCTATTCAAACAGTTTCACCTCCAACTGTGGTCTATGGATTGCCTGCAAACCTAAGACCTTCAAATATTCATTACAAACACTTACTAGTATTATTTTTGCCCCAATATATTCTAACGTGTTTCAGAAAGCTTTGAAAAAATGCTAATGAAACATGTCAAGAGCTAGATAACACTCTTGCATGCCCAGCTTTAAATGCCTTAAAGCGGAGTTCCACTCACCCTGTCAAAAAATAAAAGCCCGCAGCTACTTACCTGTCCCTCGGTCCCGTGGTGTGTCCCCCGCAGCCCGTTTCACCGGCCGTCCTGTATTCAAGGAGGTCGGCATCTTCAGTGTGGGCACCAGGCTGTGACCGCTTGCGGCTTCACAGTCGGGTACCCACTGCGCATGCATTAGTAGCGCTGTGCTTCAAGAATGGTCCTGTAGTCTTCTGGGACCTGTCATGTGTCCCAAAAGACTACAGGGAGGGAGGACACCTTCCACTTCCAATCGCCCAGGCGATCGAACTGGAAGTGGGATCAGGTACCTGTCAAATTCGAGTACCCGCTCCCCCTCTTCCCCCCAAAGGTGCCAATCCTTAATGTGGAGCGGGGGAGCAGTCCTTAAAGCGGAACTTCCCCTTTTGGGTGGAGCTCCGCTTTAAGAACAGAATATTCTGAGCTGCATATTTAAAGATATATTTAAAGTGGTTGTAAAGGCAAGTTTTTTCTTTTTATTAATATAAAAAAGATGTTTTACTTACCTGCTCTCTGCAAATAAATTGCACAGAGCAGCCACTTACCTCCTCTTCTGAAGTCCTTCGTCGACACTGTATGTTATCTAAAACAATAGGAAAAGGATTTGCAGACAGTTTTCAAACTGCTATCAGCATGAAATCACTTTTGACAGGTTTTCCTGACTCCAAGAGAAAAATAGTGACAGAGGAGGGACCTCCAGCAGATTGACAGCCTTAGTTCTCTTCCTGTGTGCTGTGTGGAGGGAAGTGTGTCTCTACCCTTCAATCAGCTCTCCACCCCCTTTTTTCTAAATTCTCAAACAAGCTTTTTAAATTCAGCACTTTGAGCTGATGTAGATAAAAGGTGACTACAGATAAACAGGTATAACATATGTAGGATGATTTGTTTAATCTCTGAGTATTACCTGGAACCAGTCACTTCACTGAGTATATTTAAAAGTTTACAACCACTTTAAGTACTCCATTTGCACCAGGTTCCAAAACAAGTTTCAAATACCTGTCCAGATGGTAAGGTACTCCAGTTGTTATTGGTTTAAGTACAAGGGAATTTTCTAAAAATTCACTGACTTTACCATCCCAGATGACAAACTACCAGAAATCCATCCTCTGACACCTCCTAAATGCAGCTAAATCCTGCATCCCCCTAAACCAAGGAAATTCTTCTCACACTTGATATCCATGGGAATATGCAGGGTGGAAGACATTAGACAAATGGAGGATCTTAGTTTCTCCTCAAAAATGAATATAAAATTTACCAAACAGCATGGTTCTATATTTCCATTTCTGTTGGAAGGCAAGGCCCTTCTGCTCAGAGACCTAGAACTCCCCTTATCCATTCACTTCTCCCCTTAATACTACTGTAGGTATGAACTCATGGTTTGACCTAAACACAAACTCAGACCGAACTTTACCTGTTTAGGTATTCAAACAAACTTCAGACATTTAACTCATTGAGCGGGAGCTGAACATCATATATAGTAGCTGTGCTTCATTGTGATCAATATGGATCCACATTGCTGGACAATGTGATTGTGATGGATGTACATCATGGGACTTTTTTTTCTTATAAAGGGCTTGTCAAAAACTACTGTATGTAAGTGCGTTTATTTATTATTTATTATTTACTGCCTTTGTAAATGGGTAGTGGTACATAGTACCCTTCTTGCAGACCCCCACAACAAGGGTTGTAGGGAAAAGTGTGTTTTCTTCATCAACATGGGGACAAGGTGCTTTAGCAGGGGGGTTTCCCATGTTGAGAACATGTTGTGTCCTGGTATGTTTCAGGCGGGAGGACGCACTCTCAACTTTCGTTTCCAGCCAGGTTGCCATGCTATGCTCAGATAAAGGTCTGGTATGGATTTTTTAGAGGGAACCCATAAACTTTTTTTTTTTAACCACTTGCCTACTGGGCACTTATACCCCCTTCGTGCCCAGGCCAATTTTCAGCTTTCAGCGCTGTTGCACTTTGAATGACCATTGCGCTGTCATGTAACATTGTACCCATATAAAATTGTTATTATTTTTTTTCCACACAAATAGAACTTTCTTTTGGTGGTATTTAATCACTGCTGGGTGTTTTTTTTTTCTGCACTATAAACAAAAAAATTTAAAAAAATTGTTTCTATTATACATTTTTTCAAACAGGTAATTTTTCTCCTTCACTGATGTGCATTGATGAGGCTGCACTGATGAACACTAATAGGCAGCACTGATGGGCACTGATGAGGTGGCATGGATTGGCAGCACTGATTGGCACTGATAGGTGGCACTGACAGGCAGCACTGATGATGCTGCACTGATAGGCGGCACTGCTGGTCACTGATAAGTGGCACTGATGAACAGCACTGATGGGCGGCATTGATGGGCGGCACTGACTGGTGGCATTGCTGGGCACTGACTGGTGGCACTGCTGGGTGGCACTGCTGGGCACTGATGGGTACAAGTGGGAGGCACTGCTGGGCACTGGTGGGAAGCACTTCTGGGTGGCCCTGCTGGGCACTGATCATCAGTACCCTGATGATCAGTGCCAATCTGTTCTCTGATAATTGCCGGTTATCGGCAGTATTTTTCTCACACTGTGACAGCGTGAGGAAAGTGCAGCCAATAACCAGCAATTGTATTTACCCAGTGATCTGCTGTATCATTGGACACAGCGATCACATAGATCACCGGGTGCACGCCGCTGGGGGCGCGTGGAAGGGCATGTTCTGGAAGGATTTCATAGGACGTCCTCCCAGAACTGGACAACCGCGCTGTACCCGTCCTTCGGCTATAGCTCAGTTGGCAAGTGGTTAATTTTGTTGTGGGGGGTCCCCTTTAAAATTCATACTAGACTCAAAGGATTGAGTATGGAAATGGGGGGGAACTCCATGCCATTTTTCTTTTTTTTTGTCTATTTGCTGGTTCCCTATTAACATCTACTGTATATCAGAGCCACATCTAAGATAAGTGTGTGATAAAGATGCAGGGAGTCCCCAGCCATTTGTTTACAAACCAAAGTGAAGCAGATGAAGATGTTATTTGCATTTTTTTCCTTTCAATTTTGCTATAATAGGTTGTTTACTGTACATAGTATAGTTATACAGCTTCACAGGCAAATTAAGGGCACCCCCAGGCAAGTTATTTAAAGGAATTTAATGTTGACCTCAAAAGTATGTTTGGCTTATTCCTACTTTATACCTCCCCCTTTCTTTTTTTCTCTTTTTTCCCTCTCTCTCCACTCCACCCTGCATCTCAATACCAGGAACAGGAACCCCCCCCCCCCTTTATGCCCCACACACCTTTATACTACCCCACAGCTTCTCTCCCATAACCTTCAGACCAATAAAAAAGAAGAAAACAACCTAGAGCACGTGCATCATATCTTTTCTGTTTGATGCAGGTGCATTTATTCAGACACCCTGCCAATTCGGGTAACACTACCCCAAGCAGAATAAACCTGAGACAGTGGGACAGTGTATTGGATTTAGTATTTTTATGCTTTCCAATATCAAAACTTGATTTTTTTTTTGTATGACTGATATTTGCACCTCAACAGTTATCCCTGATTTTTAAGTCTGTACAGGTTACTTTAGGTTAATGTTAAGATCAGGGATTGGGGTTCAGTTTACGATTAGGGTTATGGACAGGTTTTGAATGGAGGTTAAGTGTTAATAGCTAATTTTAGGGGTTAGATAAAATGTTGGGGTTGGGATAAGTGTCAGAATGTAAGGGTTAAATGTTAAAGCAAATGTTAAGGGTTAAGTATTGGGAACAACTCGGCAGTGAGCTGTATTGCTAAGAGACATCTTACCTGTTCATTTGGAACCGATCACTTGTTGGCTGGATCAGCAGGATACTGCTCCCTCAATGTTTCCTTGCTTGTGAGTGAGATTCTGCTTTGTTCCAAGCCAAAAAGGAATCAATTCCACTGGTTAAATGACTGTAGTGATTCTGTTGATTTGGCGAGATCACCAAATGGACATGGCCCTAAGGCAGAGCAAAGCAAAAGCACATTGGCAGATTATGAGACAGCTTTATTACAAGATCACAGCTCAAACCATAAATTGGTACCGGAGTTGTCCACATGTAATACTGTACATAACATTTTGCAAGTGTATGTGGATGATTTACTAAAATTGGAGTGTGCAAATACTGGTGCAAATGTGCATGGTAGCCAATCAGTTTCTAACTTCAGCTTGTTCAGTTAAGCTTTGACAAAAAAAAGGAAACTGGTTTCTTCGCAGAGCAAAATACATTGATTTTGCACTCTCATTTTGCCTTGTCAAGACCTCTCTGTAAAATGCAGTCCTAATTCCAGTCAACAAGAGCCTTCATATTTGAGTATATATAGCAATAGATACATTGAAGGCAAGTATGCTTGGAGGCAGCCCATTGTTCCTTGAAATGCCAGGACAGACCACAAGCACAGCACTATAGATCAGAATAAATCATGTCCATTTCTACTTCTAAGGTGTGTTTGTATTTTAACTGCTTCCTCTCCGTGCGTGCCCTACTCACGCCGCTATTCGCGGCCTCGGCTGTCAATCACCGAGTCCCGGCCGTTGATTACTCGCCGACACCCGTTGATCAAGGAGCATTACCAACAGAGAGAAAGAACTATATGTAAACAATACAGTTCTTTCCCCTGTCAGCTCCTGCACACTGGTATGCATGGCTTTGCATAGCAGAGCCATGCAAAGCAGTGTGCTTACAGTGAAGCACACACACAGTAAAACAGCACACAGTTAACCCTTTGATCGCCCCAAATGTTAATCCCTTGCTGCCCAATGCCATTAGCAGGGGTGTATTTACCCACAAGGCAAACAAGGCATTTGCCTAGGGTGGCATTCTTCAGGGGGGCAGCACCGCCCTCCTGGAAGAAGGGAAGGAAGTAGGGAAACATGCGGCTTGGGGATCAGATCAGAGAGAGGCTGTGGGCTGCTTGACTCTTGTTCCTGGGGATGTCCAGGACTGTGAAGGTGAGTGTCTTTCTCTCTCTTGCTGGGAGGGGAGTGGCCGGTGTATGGGGGAGATGGTAGTGGAACGTTCTCTCGGGTGGGGGGCATGGTTGTTGTTGGTCGATGTCAAGCTCTCTCCGGGGATGGGGGGGGGGGGGCGAGTTTTGTGTTGCGTAGGGCAGCACAAAACCTAAATACACCACTGGCCATTAGTACAGTGTCAATGCTTTTTATTAGCACTGATCACTGTCACTGGGGATGTCGGTGACACCAAGTCAGTTCCCTCCAGTTCCACCAAGTCAGTTCCCTCAAGAGTCGAAGATGTTGGCTCGGTCATGTGATCAGCTGTGTGCAATCACAGCTGATCACATGTAAATAGAGAAATGCTGGTTATCAGCATTTTTCTCCTCACGAGCTGTCACGCTGACAGCTCAAGAAGAGAGCCGGTAATTGACATTCTTCAGAGGGGACATCTACACTGATCATCAGGGCACTGATGATCAGTGTGCCCTGATGATCTGTGTAGCCCCAGCAGTGCCACCTGTCAGTGTCCATTAGTGCCATCTGTCAGTGCTCATCCATGCCACCTGCCAGTGCCCATCAGTGCCACATATCAGTGCCTACCAGTGCACATCAATGCCACATATCAGTGCCACCGGTTCCTTTCTCTGAGGATGTGCTTGGCACGTAACGCATAAGGAGGAACCTGCGCACGCCTTGACGCCACGCCCGTCGGAGCATTGGGGAGCTCCGGCGGCATTACATCTGACAGACGGTTAGTCCGTTTTGCTTCATGCTAGCTTTCATATGCAGCTAGCGGTGTGTTCATTATTTTATCATTTCTGGATGCATCCTGTTTTATTTCAATAAACGTTATTTATTGTACCTTACTATGGGCATTTCTTTCTGTGGGGAGTATCTCCTCCTAGATACCGCTGATGTAAGTGAAGGAGTGTGTTTTTTTCTCTGATGGAGCTGTGACTGCTTCCTTGCTGTCCTGTGGAACGTGTGTTATATTGGCCTGGGGATCTTCACTAATCCGGGGATTGCATCTACCTCTGTTCCCTGACTACATCCTGAACTCCATCTCTGCCACAGTGTATACACCTTTGGTCAGTGTGTATGGGCGCCTGAAGTCATCTTTACTGGGACTTTTTTTGACCTGGGGCTTTTCCCCCCTTTTTTTGACGTACTTATTAATTTTATTCATCAATTTATCCATTTACCTTATTATAGCGCTGCACTTTATATTTATATTCATGTGAGGAATTCTTTTGGTTGTCCTGTGTGTTTCAGCTGCTTGTCCATTTAAGCGCTCACCTTTTTCTTTGATTTACACATATATATGAGTGCTGCCTTTCAGTGCCCATCAGTGATGCCTGTCAATGCCCATCAGTGCCACCTACCAGTGCCTCCTCATCAGTGCCCATCTGTGCCACCTATCAGTGTCCATCAGTGCAGCCTATCAATGCCCATCACTGCAGCCTTATTAGCGCACATCAGTGAAGGAGAAAAATCACTTATTTATAAAATTTTATAACAAAAAAACAAAGAAAAAAACTTTTTTTTTTTCAAACTTTTCAGTGGTTTTTTGGTTTGTTTAAGAAAAAATAAAAAACCCAGAGGTGATTAAATACCACCAAAATAAAGCTCTATCTGTCACAAAAAAATGATAAAAATGTCATATGGGTACAGTGTTTGCATGACCGCGCAATTGTCATTCAAAGTGCAACAGTGCTTAAAGCTGGAAATTGGCCTGGGCAGGAAGGGGGTATAAGTGCTCTGTAGGCTAGTGGTTAATAGCAAAAAGTCAAAATTATTGTTTTTCTTAAAATTGTCGGTCTTTTTTTTTTTTTATAGCTCAAAAAATAAAAACCACACAGGCGATCAAATACCACCAAAATAAAACTCTATTTGTGGGGAAAAAAGAATGTAAATTTCATTTGGGTGCAGCATGACCACGCAATTATCAGTTAAAATAACGCAACGCCGTAACGCAAAAAATGGCCTGGTCAGGAAAGGGGTAAATCCTCTGGAGGGCAAGTGGTTAAAAAAAGTCACAAATTCAAAGATCAATTTGTTGCAGAGCTCTGCAAAACCATACTAGGTATGCTACTGATTCTGATTCTGTTTGTAACTTTTTATATAAACTTCTCTTTTATATAACCCCATTGCTTATAAGATAATTTTCCATGGTTAGGAAATATGTTCCTAATATAGCAGATTTATTTTAAGACTTTCTTTGGCCTTGCTCTGCCCTATCATTTATATACAGGAAGATGGTACAAGACATCTAAAATGACAAATAAGTATTCCTGGGTTAGTGGCTTTTCTTGACCATGACCCAGCAAACGACTTCCTCTTGCTCGAGATTATGAATGGTCTCACACAAAGTTTGTTGGATGCCACCCAGAAAGTAATTTGCATGTTCCCCACAATGCAACAGCAGTTAATGGCTGGCTTCTCCAGGTTATAGAGAACTTAAATGTATTTAAATATTAAGGAGCATTAATGTAATAACTTGAAAATGTTTTAATGGTGACTAATGGCTGTACATTTTAAATGAAACCAAATTTTCCATGCTAATGTGTATCAAGTTATGTGAATAATATAGAGCAGATGGCTGTACAGCCCAAGAACAGCTGAGGGTTGGATTGATTAAAGTGAAAGTTTAGAGTTTATGGCATCATTTTATATCCTAATTTGCTAATGTTAAAATGTGTGAGCCATTAGAAAAGTGTGAGAGAAAAATACAGTGGCCCTAAAACACAAACTTTACTTTTAAAAATGTGCAGATATTTCAGACACTGGACAAGTTAAATACAGTATATTGATTTTGTCAATAGGGGCAGTTATTTGTATAAAAAATGTATGTATGTGTACATATGGGCATCTTCTGTATTTACCATTAGAAAAGTGTGAGAGAAAAATACAGTGGCCCTTATTTTAAAAATGTGCATATTTCAGACAAAAGTTAAATACAGTATATTGATATGTATAAAAAATGCCCTACATATGGGCATCTTCTGTATTTACAAAGTTCCCAGGCACCTTGTAGAAGCCTTCTCCTCTCTGCTTCCTGGCTGCCAAGCTTTGCAGAGAGGCAATGTAAGTTTCTCTGCTTCCCTTACTCAGTAGCTCAGAGAGGCCGCACTTGATGAGACAGAGGTAGCAAGGCAAGTGATTTGCAGCCTAGGTAGAGGCCTTCCACTGTCGGAACTGGTGTGGGGCCAGCCTGGCCAGAGCCTAATAACACACAGCTTCTCCAGAAGCCCCAGCTACTGTAGGGTGCACCTATCCAATAGCTACATAACAACAGGTGGATACCTTCTCTCACCCCCCACCCCTGTTATCAGAGCTACCCTAGACTTCACAGATGTCTGTTTATGAGAATAATCGCAAGCAACTATTTGCATTCTGAACCGGTTTAACCTCTTCAAGTCCGGACACTTTCACCCCCCTTCCTGTCCAGGCCAATATTCAGCTTTCAGTGCTATCACACTTTGAATGACAATTGTGCAGTCATGCAACACTGTACCCATATGAATTTTTTGGCATTTTTTTGAGACAGATTAAACTTTATTTTGGTGGTATGTATTCACCACTGGGATTTTTTTTTTTTTTTTTGCTATATAAATGAAACAGTCCAAAAATTTTGAAAAAATGAAAAAAAAGTGTTTTTCTTATAAAATTTTGTAAATAAATAATCTTTCTTCATAAATCTTGGCCAAAAATTATTCAGTTATCTTTTTAGAAAAAAGAAATAACACACATTAGTTTATAACCAAAAATTATAATTTTTCAAAACTTTTTTGTACATTTTTATTTTATTTTTTTATATTATTATTTATGTTTCTTTTTTTTTTTAACATACTGTCACCCTAGCAGTACAGTGTCAACATAGTGACACTGTACTACTTGTGGGGGGTAATGAAGATTTCTTCTTTTTTTACACTGATTGCTTTTACACCCATAACGGCTGTAAAAGCAATAATTTCTCCTTCTCTTTGGCTGCATTCTTGCAGCCATTGAGAATTACTGTGTGAGCTGTGATGGGTCACAGCTTGTCACATGGGACAAGGCTGTTGTGAATAGCTGTGTACCATGTGATCTCTGTGATCAGTCACAGTTTTCACATGTAGTAAGCAATGGCCAATCAGTGATCACATGATCGGGTCCTCACACAGAGGTCCCATACAACGACCGGTGTTCTGCTGTGTCCGGAGGACACCGCGGGCACCGGATCATGGTGCTGTGTACTCCCAGGGAGCGCAGACAAGCAGGGAAGCGGGGAGGACATTTATAAATGGCTACCCACCGCTGCACTGCTCCCGTCCAGCCGTTTATATACATGGGCTGGACAGGAAGTGGTGAATGAAGTAATCTTTCTCAATCAGATTCTCTGTTGCTGTAGAGTTTTCTACAGACTATGTTATGCATTCACATGTTACTCTGTTTGAGCCAGAGATACATTGCTGTAGAGAGCCCATGTCTGTGCAGCTTTCATAATCTGTTGTGGATTACTTTGCAGCACATACATGGTCATTGCCATTTTGCAGTATTGATTTTTCTTTGCACCAGTTTAACCTTGTAACCTACATGTTCCAGTTAGTCTCTGTCTGATCATTGGGTCAGTTAACAATCCTGTCCTGTTTACCAGCTTTTTTCCATGTTTTTCAGTCTCCTGCATTGGTGGTGGATTTTTTGCAAGCAAATTAATTCATATCTTTAAGAACAGCAGAGTTTTCTTAAAATAGAATGTATATGCATGCCTCACTTCATCATCTTAGGATAAAAGGCATAGCCCTGTAAATCATATCTTTATGCCCCTGGGCAAACTGTTCCATAACTGCTCCATAACTGCTAATTTACAGCACAGATACAGCTTAACACCTTCCCGCCCAGCCTATGGCAGATTGACGCCGGGCAGGATACTTGCCGTTGTGACTGGGCGTCGTATGACGTCCTGTCAAAACTAGCCGCCCATGCGGGCGTGGGGCCGCGCAGCGGCACAATCTGTTACCGGCTGTGTCCATGGGACACAGCCGATGACATATCACTACACACGCCCATTGCCAGTGTCATGTGACCGCTGTGACCAATCTCAGCAGATCACATGTGAATTGTATACAATGGATGGCTTCCTGTCATGCCATCCATTGTATACAATTATGTTGTTAGCTGTTACTGGTAAAGGCAGTCACATGATACATAATGGTGTGAACCTCCTGCGCTTCTAACTAAAAAATAAATACAAATAACCAAGAGAAGCTGCTAACATCCAGTCATATACCTAATGATCAAATTAATAAGATGAGTAAAAATTATGTAGCGCTACTAAAATGGATTAATGAATAAATCACATATCATAAACTCATAAATGCATAATTAAAATAAATAAATATGATAAAAATGTATAAAGTGACACAAAGTGCAAATTTCATGAACATGACCTGATCCACATGGGATCTATAAGTGTCTGACCGTGACCTGATCCTCTACGGATCCAAAGTGAGCAAAGTGAATGGTAAACCACCAAGGTGATGGTAATAATAGAAATATGTGTACCAATACTTACAACAAGTATGGTATAAAAGTAAATAGATCCTAAGTGGGATCTAAAGTGATGGTGGATAATCAACCAGAAAATAAACTAGTCCAAATGGGACTAATAAGTAAATGTTGTCCAAAAATGGGACTCCAATCAAAGGAAAACGCACATATATGCAAGTGAATACTTCTATAAACAATTGTGCACACACAATAAATATCAGAAAATATTTCAACCCAAACACTGAAAAACACAAATAGCTCTCTATCACACTATTAGAAATCCACAAAATAAGGGGTTCAGTCCTCATTTTAAAATAGTAAGTGGACCTACCTGTATACTATCTAGTATATAACACAGTGCCCATATACTCCACAAAAGTGGGGAACTCTAATGAGGGAGATAAAGACTAACTCCCTTGGTGGCTTAATCTTCCCTACCTTCCAGTTTGGATAGATGTTGACTGCCAGCTAACCTACAGTACCAATAGGTTTTGAAGTTTGCTATTCTCCAGTCTACACTGTTTTGCAACGAAACATTTGCTTACAGGAATATTTTTCTACACAACTCTAAAATAGAAACCCAGTTTGTCTGAGCAAACACCCTGGTTAACATAGCTGCCTTCTGTGAAGGTTCAAGGTTCTCTAACCCCGGATGGTCTTCTCTAAAAGAAACAATGAGTTTTCCTGTTTTCTTACTGAAAGTGAAGATACTTTATTTCATAACTGATTTTTCAAGCTATTAACTTCATTTACCTGCAGGAAACAGTTTCCACTCTTTGAAAAAAACTACATTTTGCTGTTTGATAATGATTAATATGATCATTTTTAAAAGTTGAAGGTTACTATTAAATAAACACACGCACTGCATTCTTTCTTATTAAACAAATGCTTAATTTCCCAATGAAAAAAAAAGTGTCACTTTAATTTAAAACTGCTTTAAAGGCTCCAGCAAGAACAGCTGCTCAATGTCAGGATGTCACCAGCCCT